CATTGGCAGGCGACACAATGACACTATGGACACGGTCCGTGTCACTAGTTAAAATTGCTTATTTCTCTGGATTTAAACATTCTTCGAAACATTTGGGATAATGTAAGTACACAAGTCAGCAAAATATATAACACTGTTCTAGTGGTTTTTGGATATTTTAATAAAAAAATCTTACATATTGTGTCTTTAATACACAGATCTAATATAAACATGTGATTTCTTTCCGGTTATTTACCTTCACAGACAAAACCAACTGTGTTTATGTAACTTAGGTTTTTTTTTTTTTTTTTTACATAAACTTGTGTGTATTTGACAGTTTAAGCGCAATAAGACATGAAAGAGAACTTAGTTTAGTGCTCACATGCCGTGTGACAGACTCTTGTGATGTGTACGCTCAGTATATAAGAATTATAAACTGATATGGCTTTAAAACGCATGATTTCGCGTGAAAGACATGATAATCAAAACCAAGCAGATGCTTTTTGCATTTAAAGAGACTTGCACGAAAACAGCGTGTTTCTGGTTCCTCTAAAAATAGGCATTTTCAAAATGATAATGCTGAAACTTCACAGACACATTCTGGGGACACCTGAGACTTATATTGAAATGAAACTACTGTATTGTAAGTGGAGTGTAACATGTATATATATATATATATATAAAAAACGGTTAGTTCCAGTCCTCATTTCTGATTGGTCAGCAGCTGTGTTTTATTCACGATACAGCATGGCTATGACCGCTTCACCCAACGGTTCTGTGTATCACTGAGCAACACCCTTAGCAACCACCCTTAGCAACATATACAACCAATAATATAGCATTAAAACTGTTCCGTGTATTTCGGAAGAATTAACTGTTTGTTATTTATTTAATGAAGTATGTATGAGTGACCCCTGCTGGCGTTATGTTGCAATTTTCATCTTTCATCACCTAATTTTGAGACTCATGAACTCTCATGAGCACCCATGAACTATTTTTTAGCGGAAGGACAGCATTTAATGAACTTGCTTCAAAAAAGTAACATATCAATGCATACATTTTTGTTTTTAATATTTTTATTGTGTGGTAACCGTTTTATAAAAGCAATAAGGTATGAGAGGCCGTGCTGTATTGTGAATAAATCACGGCTAAAGGGGTTGCTGCAGGCACTCCGCTTCGAGCCGTGCCTAACAATGCCCTTCAGTCATAATTTATTCACAATACAGCACGGCCTCTCATACCTTATTGCTTACATATATACATGGTATATATAAAAACCTTGCTATGTGGATAACCGAGACTTGTCATAGCACTTGCATATTATTGCTCTTTTGTTGGTTTCATTTGCTTATATTGTCTTCATTTGTAAGTCGCTTTGGATAAAAGCGTCTGCTAAATGACAATGTAAATGTAATAGCTGTGGAATGCAATGCAGTAATAGGAAACAGTTGCCTGTTTGTTTGCGCTGACACGAAGACTGTCAGAAGTGCCCTGATCTTCTTTGACGTTGCCTCATTGAATTGAGTTCTGCAGTCCTGCAAGGAAATACTAAAAAGGTCTAGCATCTTATAACCTCTACAAAAAAAAAAACTAACAAGACTAACAAAAAAAGACTAACAAGTCTTATATGTGTGTGTGTGTGTGTGTGTAGGACGATCAGACCCCGCTGCATATATCCAGTCGTCTGGGAAAACCAGATATAGTCCAGCAACTACTGCAACATGGGGCTTCACCTGACGCCACCACCACATCTGGATACACGCCGCTCCACCTGGCCGCCCGCGATGGCCACAGAGACATGGCATCTATCCTGCTGGACAACGGAGCATCTCTAGGCATCACTACCAAGGTCAGTCACACCAACAAAGCTGGACGATTCATAAAACTCGCTGTTTGTTGCTTGTCAGATGATCAGAGAAAATTTGGATGCCAACTAGGCTATTTTTAACCTCTTGATACTTTTGTTTACATTTACTATATAGACTACACTCTCAGGAAAAAAAGGTACAGAAGCAATCACTGGGATGTACCATTTACCCTTTAGGTACTAATATGTACATTTTGAGTACCTTTAAGGTACTTAAATGCACCCTTTATGGATAAATAAGGTAAAAAGGTCTATTTTGTGAAATGTACAACCAGTGATAATTATTGTATCTTTTTTCTGAGAGTGTACTGTCCGAAAATGGAAATTAATGTTGACAAATTATACATCTTTTCAAAGATCTAAGGATTTAGCAACAATGTTCAGTCTCTGTTTTGCAATACAGTACAAATTAAATATAAAAGACTTAAAATCTTTTCATGAGATGAGTCCAATTGTCACACTACAGTAGAGTAAATTGTGCGCAAAATGATGAGCATTCAGTGAAAACCATCCAATGGCACTTTTTATCCACCGAAAGGGTTAAATCTAAGAAATATTGAAATATTTTGCCTGAAAGATTCATCCTCCCTCTTTGTTCTCCCAGAAATTATGCAATCTGCGCAGTCTATGCTGTAAAAATGTGATCTTACTAGACTCTCACAAACAAAATTATAATAAAAAATAAAAAATTAAAATTAAAATATAGTTGTAATATTTTATAGTTGTAATATAATGTTTACTTGCAATATAAATTGTTATATATTTATTTATTTATTTATTTGTATCTTTATTTTTTTAATGTTTTTTGTGGTAAAAAAAAAAAAAAAGGATGAACCCGTCAATATGTCCAATTTCAACTTTCTTTACCAATTAACACTGTTTCAGGAAATACATACAACACAGGAATGCAAATAGCATTCACTAATTTTAACGATCCCTTGGTCCTAGTGTTACAATGCATCATATTTCTGTGGTATATTTTGTTTCAGAAATGTATTTTATTTCAGATAGGCTAACGCTGATGTGGTTTCGATGAATCAAAATAGATCATACTTTGATCACACTATTAAACTGATCCACTTTGTGCTGTTTAGTGAGTCCTGCTGCTATTTTCTATGGTCCCGTTCCACTCGTCATTTTTAAACAAGATTGTTTGATTGCATCCATTCCACAAGAGCGCCACCATTTTGCTTTGTCTGTGACATCCCTTGTGATGGGATGTTGATTTCTTTTTATGTGGTTTAATGGAGTGAACAGCCCCCTCCCTCATCAAGCTGCAGTTGTGTTTGTAATAAATCAGTAAATGAATTCAGTTATGAATAAATTGAGCATGTGAGCTGCGTTCTGATGTTGTTTCAAATTATTAATTAAATTGATTATTCTGTAAAACTAATCACTATGCAGATGTGTGTCTTGCCCTTTACTTTACAATGGACAAGCCCAACCCAAACTACCGAGAAATTATATTTGGATAGTCATAACTGAAAACTAAACGTGCTATATTAGAGATAGGAATCTATTATTTCTGCAATGTAGAACACCACCGGATGCTTTAACATTGCTTGTGGGCTGAAATAGTAATGGTATGAAATGGTAAAAAAATTTAATTTCGTTTTGACAAGTACTCTGCTTTCTTGCAAAAATTAACAAATTGCTGTCAGTGCAAACAACTAATGGAAACTGATGCAGTGTGTGAAATGATTTGTGAACACCTCTAGCTCATCATGACTCCTCTCTGTGTTAAGTTCGGATAGCTAGATAGATATCCCAACACTAATACACAGCAGTTCATCACTGGAAAAAATCATGCATCCTGACACATTCAGTATAAACATTTATCACTGAGCAGTGTTAAATCACGGCTTGAATGTAAATCAGCGTTTACTAAATGTTTTCTGTATGAAATGCTTTACATCTCCACCCTGAACATTTAAGCTGACTAAAGAAAGGTCATCTCATCCATCACAATAGCTCACCAACCTGCCATGCTGATGGAGGATTTTGCTAGCAGTATGCTGTTATATTTCCATTAGATGGAATATATTACAAAATGCTTTTATGGAACAGCATGATGTTGACATCATGTCCATTATTAAGGAACATCTGATGATGTTTAGGATCAGTTGGAGTTGCTGCATGTGGGATGTATTAGTTTTTGGTGTTTGTTCTCATTATGTTATTGAGCACAGGGCTTTCATTTCCACATTTCCCAGTGAATAAAGGTCCGTGGACCAGATCGGTACTCGCCTACACTCAAACTGAAACATAGTTTGAAACATCTGTCAGATTACATGGATAACAAGACATCTTTTCTCTCTGGTTAAGTCAGGAAATAAACAGGCTTTACATTAAAGACCGTATGTAATGGCTTGGCAAGTGCAGTTCCCTTTTCTGTGTTGATATACTGTATTTCCTACTGAAACAGGAGGTTGGTTTTGTAAATATCCAGGAGACATTATAATGAAAAATTGATACTTTGAACCAATTTATAAAATACTCTAATTTGTTAGTCAAATTTATGTTTTCTCAAATTATATTTATGGTTTGATTCAAACCTTAAATTTTGATCAGTATTAATGAAATATACTTATTTTCTCAAACACACACACACACACACAAACAAAAAGAAAGACTTTAATGTTTATTGTCTTTTTAAAATATGCATCCTATTGAAAGAAAGAAAGAACGAAAGAACTGGAAACTGGAAACCATGAATCTTTAGAAGAGACTATACATGTTAGTGTATATGCTAAAAGCAATACACTAGCTTAAAGTGCCCCTATTATGGATTTTTGAAAATTACCTTTCATGCAGCATGTACACAGCTCTATAAGTGAATGAAAACATCCTGCAAAGTTTTAAATCTGAAAGTGCACCGTGTATAAAGTTATTGTCTCTCAAAAGAAAGAGTCGACTCTGAATCACTGAAACGAGTCGTTTTTAAAACGAATCCCAAGCCGTTTCATGTTGACGTCAACATGAAACATTAGCATATTGCCCGCCCAGTTGTTGGTCTTTTCGCGTTGGTCTGAATGAAAATGCAAATTCATTTTTTGCCACTAGGTGCAGCTTTTGGAGCGGTAAAAATAGCGGTTTCCCCGGTAACGCTGTACACAAAGCAGCACTGTGCTCACAAACGCTGCTTTATCAGGCATTACAGGCATGATGAAATGAAAATGAGACCAATCGGACCAATCACCGCAGATTAGCGTCACGCAAAGGAGGAGTTTGGAAAAATGAATTGTTGAGCGAATCATTTGGGAGTCGTTGAGCAAGTAAGGTAAAAATAAATGCATATCATAAGACAATAAATGTGTTTTTTGACCTTGCATGCATGTCAACCTGTTGTTGAGGACTCCCAAAACCAAATTATGAACCTTTCATAACCCATAATAGGGGCACTTTAACTTTTTGTCATCCAATAAAACTCAGCCTTGACCCTCAGCAGCTATTTTCTAGCTGTAGTAATAAAAGATTCCCCCAGTGTCCCGCTGTGTGCTTGGGATAGACATAAAATACGAGACAACCATCACTGAGAGGCTGCCAAGTGTTACAGTGTGGGAATGTGCTGAGGAAGGACAATGAATTGATGGTGTTTTCCATGACTCCATTCACTGCAGAGCAGAGTTTCCCTCCGATAACAGCTGTCACTGGATATGTTTGTTCTGTGCCTTGTGTTACAGCAGTGCGTTATCTCTAACTGGACAGAAGTTTATTCTTTAGTATTACAGAAGGAAACTTGTGCAACACAGATCCGTTTTTTTTCCCAATGTCAGTTACAATTTTTCAACCCCACCCAAAATGAGTTTTGCATGTCATAACGGATGACTTGTCTCTGAATATTCTAGTGGGTAAATTTCTTTTTTTTCTTATCTTCTTTTGGTTATTATTATTTTTTTAATTCAGTGTACATTTTTTTCTTTATTTCTAAGTATGTACTGTTTGTCTTTGCAGAAAGGATTCACTCCCCTGCATGTTGCAGCCAAATACGGGAAGATTGAAGTTGCTAAATTACTGCTACAGAAGCGAGCGCCACCTGATGCAGCTGGAAAGGTAAAAGTGTCTATTTTGCACTAATGGTTATAGATTGATGATTACAACCTATAATGTACAAGATTTATAGTATGAGTCTATGTCATCATGGCCAATCTTCGGTTTCTGGTATGGTAACATGACCACGGTAAGAAATTAAGAATTCAGTTTTTATTTCTAAGCATCTGTTTAAAAGGATTTTGGATGAGAGACATGGGCATTGGACACATTTAATCAGAATTCTTTGTGTAATGCCTAAAAATGGTTACATCTGTTTCCCAACTCAGCTTACTCCCAATTAAATTTTACACAAAGAAGAAACAGCATGCTTGTGCTGGCTAATCTTCAGTCTGACATACAGACGAAGTATAATGAATGTTGGTTATCATATAGTTCACACATAAAGTAAACTCTCATTCCAACTCTCATGCATTTGCATGTGTATGAATGGAAGTGAATGAAACACAAAATCAAGTGTGACTGAACCATTAAAACCTCAAGAAATGAAAAGCAGTTATATGCATTTAAAACATTAATTTCATAGGGTCTTTAATACATATTAACAAACTCATGCGCTTAATGTTAATATTTTGTAGAACTGCTTATAAATACACATTCCTATTATCATTAAAAATGTAGTCACTGCAAAGTAAAATGTTAAAAAAAAATTATATAAGCACACTTATGTTGCTGCAATCATCTGCAAATCTATACATTTTATTTCTTAAGTTATGTATTCGGTGTCTTTTAACTAATACACATCTTTTAAGAAGTTGTTTTACATATATTCTGTATCATAAATGTTGTAAAACCATCCGCTGAATGTCTTTCTAACTGCAGACAGCTAGTGAATGCTTTAAAAATGGCATCTTTCAGATGAAAAGAGCCATATGTATGCTATCAGGGTACATACTATAATTTTCCACTTCCAGAGGTTTCATTTACTAATGTGTTCTGGCTAAATTTACTCTCCTGCAATGTCCAAATGTAAAAGCTGATTGATTTATGATGGCACCTGTTTCACACACCCCACCTTTGAGCTCTTGGCCAATAATAGCTGTATATCAATGTGTGTATGTATGTGTTTTTAGAGTGGACTAACACCACTGCATGTTGCTGCACACTACGATAACCAGAAAGTGGCCCTCCTTCTGTTGGACCAAGGATCGTCTCCGCACGCTGCAGCGAAGGTATCAGGAAACCCTTACAAACCGCAGTTTCTCAACTAGTACACACACATTTCATCCACACACACACACACAAATGATGAAGAAACATGGCTGCAAACCAAACGGCTGCACACATGCTCACACAAAACCACCTCCACCCCACATTCTTGATCATTTTTGTCATTTCACTTCTAGTCCACCCACTGTAACCACCGAGGATGGTAAGCTTATGCACATTTTATTGCTTTGAAAAAGAAAGTTCTTGAAAACTTGTGTACTTGGTGGTTGTAGATGAAGCAACAAACTCATTTACGTCTTGGATGGTACATTTTCAGGATTTTTTTATTTTTGTGTGACATATTCTTTTAAAGGGATAGATCACCCTAAAATCTAAGTTCTGTCGTTATATACTTACCTTCAAATCAGTTTAAACCTGCTTGACTTTATTTCTACAGCAGAACACAACATTTTGTTATTTTTGGAAATTGAAAGTCATTGGTCGTTAAATGTTTTCATCGTATGTAAAAGAGCAGCATGAGTATTTTTCAAAATAACTCCTTTTGTGCACCACAGAAAAAAGAAAGGCATTCAGGTTTGGAATGACATGAGGAATGAATAAACGATTACAAACTTTTTTGGGTGAATTACGCCTTTAATAATTATCAGTCCGGTTTCCGCCCACCCGTGCTTCTGGGGTTTGTCATGATTTCTCTCTGATCTGCCAGTCAGTTCTGTAATCTGTGCAGGAAATAATTGCAAACTAAAAATAACATGAATAAATGCTTTTTATCAAGTTCCAGCTGTTTGCATTGAAAACACCATCAATGGAAAAACATGGTCTGGATTCATCTGTAATAAAATTGTAATGTAGGCTCTGTTCTAAAGCCTAGAGGGCTGCCTCATTATTTACTGCCTACATAGGCAACTAGGCCTTCTAAGTAAACATCCTAACCAAATCTGAACATCAACATAGGCAATAACTTGTGTTTTGAAAAATATTACACTGTACAAGAGAAAGTAGGGACTGATGTTTGCATGTGGCTAAGCTAATGATGTTACAGTGGTAAGAGACCCAAGAAATGCTGTGTAAATTGTCCTTCTTTTTATCAGTATTTGTCAATATTGAACTAATTATCCAGTATGTCTCTCTCATTTAGTCAATCTTGGAATTTTATTTTTTTTTTCACTGAGCTTGTGCAGTGCATTCTGGAATTGACTATTCTGTGAATTATACTGTGTATGTGATTAATTTTTCTCAGAATTTGGCCAAAAGAAGTTTCTTTAGAGGCAGCATAATCATTTTTGAACAGCAATCGTGTCAGGAATAGGCCGATGATGTCATCTACCGAGGGCGCTCACTATGTTTTGGAACAGAGCATAGAGGTCTGGAATTTTACTGTTCTCTCATAGTCTTAATTCACAAGCCTGTGTTTAATTGTATCTGTTATGTTTTTCCCCAGTTTTTTGTATGAACTTGAATAGAGAGTCCACGTGTTCATGCTTTTAAACTGTTTGTGTTGTTTTGTCCACCCTGAAAGAGATCAGTGTAAACCCTAAACAAAGTACAGTGACCCAGATACTGCCTTTGTTCCTCCACAAAGAACAGTTAGATCTGGCATGTGCAGAACAAAAACTAATTTGTGGTTTGGATGGGACCACCGTCCATGGACCTCACTGGCTGACACCTTAGCATTCGCTATAGCTGTTAACAAGATCGTTTTCTTCACTCAGACTGCTTTTCTCCACCTTTCAGCCATCGTTCTACTCTCAGTCTGTGTGAGGTTAGAAGCAAAGTGCTGCTGTCAACATGTTTCTCTTTTGGAAATGTCGTAAAGGTTTTAGTGTGGTTATAGTGGTTTGGCAGCATGCAAGCTAGTGCTGTGTAGGACTGGACATATGTCCTACATAAATTGTATGTATACATTTTGATATGTTTCAGTCCTTTGTCAATATTGAATGTATAACTTCCAATCCTCTATACTATTTATACAGTGCATAGTGATCCAGGACAAGCTTCCACGTGTTATCACTGATATTTGGATAGCCATAGATATTCATTTATTATGATCTCCTTCATTTGCTTTCCCTCCCAGAATGGCTATACTCCACTGCACATAGCTGCCAAGAAGAACCAGATGGAGATAGCAACCACACTGCTCGAGTATGGAGCTGATACCAATGCCACGACACGCCAGGGCATCAGTCCTCTCCACCTGGCGGCCCAGGAGGGCAATGTTGACATGGTCACGCTTCTGCTTGCCCGTGAAACTGCCATCAATCTGGGAAACAAGGTGAAAAAGATAGATGCTATTGCACAATATTCTAATTTATTATAATATTTTTTAATTTTATGTGACATTTTCCTTTTGGATAAGTGAAATATGTAACAGGAAATTATGTCCATGAAGTCCTTGCAACCTTAAAAACCCTTAGTTTTGACTTGTGCATATACTTTAACATGCTATTGAAAGTAGTAGCATAATTATTCACATTATACTGAAAACAAAAACCAACATCCAATCAAAGCTGACCATATTTATTCCTTAATACACACACACACACACACACATATATATATATATATATATTAGGGATGCACCGAAATGATTTTTTTGGGCTGGGCTTAAAAACGAGAGAGAAAAAAAATATTGGTTCACTCCAAGCAGAATCGTTATTTGAACGTTTCTGTTCCTGCATTTGAGTATGTTTGAGTAGAAAACATACCGGTTAATAACGTTATTTTTTTAAGTTTTACTTTGCCAATAATAATAATAAAGTACAGCGTTTAATTTACTTAAAAAGAAAAAAAATAATGAAGAGAGTCTTGATCTCGCTTAGTCATAGCCAATACAGCATCATCTTTTCTAGATTTACCAAAGACCAAATGTATTAAACAAAAGAAAAAACTGTCAACGCATTAAAAACATTAGCCTAAAGTATTTTTTTTTCAAGATATTTAAAAATGTTTGCGCTTTGAGAGGGAAAAAAACAGCCTAAATTAGTAGGCTGTACGTTGCATTTTATTATTACATACAGAAATAATGTAGGCTAAAATACGGTAAATAAAAGCAAAATTACAAACACAATTAGGCTATTTTAGTTCCCTTCTCTCCACAACAAATCCTTTCAGAAGATTTAGGCTAAAAATAAACCTCAAGCCAAAACAAATTCATTTAAAAACAAAACTGAAGCCTACCTCTCTCATTCTGCACAAATCCATATGTTTCCATATTCGCGAAGTATGTGGATGCTAACCTATTATTTATTATGTAAACTATAGGCTTTGTTCTTTACTCGCATTATCGACGTAAAACATCATCCTTCACATATAGGCTATATCAGCAGTGAGGCGCGCGTTGGTCACACTGAACGGCACAGACTGTACTACGGACTATTTAAATTGAGCAGAGGCCATTGCACACTGAGTCCGAAATTTTCGCACGTTGAAAAATAAATACGACCTCACACTGTTTCAATCACGTTTACACACTGCCTCCGAAACTTTCGTCCGTGCACATGCTATGCGGGCACACGCACACTCATTCTCATTCTCAAGCACCCATTTCTCACACTCTCGCAGGACTGTGCAGAGAAAGATGGAAGAAGGGAAATGCACTATGAATCTTGAGTGCAACCTAACATGGTGACAGGCCTTTGCTTACAAAACCAAGGTCGGAGATGTCAACCTGGCTCAGAGAGTTTTAACTTGGGTTATTCTCAGTGTTTTTGCTAAGGCAAGCATCTACTTTGTTTGTACTTTGAACAAATCCCTAACACTTTGGCATGTTACTAGGCACTGAGGACATGAATTGTGCATTTTGTTCAGAGAAGGTGTGCTATTACTTTTCCAAGGGATGAGACTTACGACTTTTAAAGTCATAAAGATCATTGCACACTGAGTCCGAAAATTTCGTCTGAAATTTTCGCACGTTAAAAAATAAATACGACCTCACGTTATGTCAATCACGTTTACATACTACCTCCGAAATTTTCGTCCATCATAAAAAAAATTCGGATCGGGTTCAATTTTTCCGTTTTTCGCATCTGTAGCAAGCATTTTGAGAGGTGTTTTGACAATTCAGAGCCACCGTACAAGTGAACGCCAAAATCCAGAATGGCAGTTGTCAAATTCATTCCCCTTCATCTCGCAGCACAAAGCACTGTAAAGATCCTTGCACACTGAGTTCACAGAAATTGGGGGTCTTCTTTTTAATATGTGGTTCTAGTATCGCTAGCAAAACATCAAACTGAGCCACTGACATACTGAAGTAAACTTTGAATCACCCGTGATAATCCCGCTGCTCCTAGGGGGAACTCACCTTCCTCTCTATATCTCAGGATTGGATGGACCCAATATTACTTTTCTTTTTCTCTTTTTAAGAAGCAAGAAGATAACAAAATCATGCTCACTGCTTGAAGACTCCATTTAGTACTGATTTGTGATTTTTTCGCAACGGATTAATTAATACGCATCGGACTCAGTGTGCAAGGTTTACATTTAGTCATTTTGCAGACGCTTTTATCCAAAGCGACTTACAGTTGAGGAATGCATAAAGCGATTCTTCTTAAAGAGGCAAACAGACACAGGAAGTGCTCGTCATACCAAGTTTCAGGCATTGTTCAAATAAGTACAAGCTAGAAAGGGAAGGAATAAATAAAGAGAAAGGCAAAGTTTTTTTTGTTTTTTTTTAATTTAAGATGAAGTCAAGTAGCGTTGAAAGAGCTGAGTTTTCAGCTGTCGTTTGAAAATCGTCAGGGATTCAGCATCCCTGACTGCGTCACTGTGAGTGATGCATTTTTAGGATAACATATACGAAAAAATGCATACGAAAATTTCGGACTCAGTTTGCAATGACCTTAACTTTTTATGTTTCTTTAACTGTATTTTATTTTGATAATGAACAGGCGGCGATGTCAAATTAGCAAAATTTGTTGTATGTGCGTGTGAGGCACCGACGCGATCACTGCATTGTTTTCACTACTGTTACGGGTCATTTATGGTCATACCAACGCTGGTTGGTCATACATATAGAAGAAAAACATCATTCAAAACTGTAAAGCTTTTGCAAAATAAAGAAAACGGCTTTCTGCCATCTCGTTTTTTTTTTCCGAGTACTTCGAAACGCATTACAATTATCCGAAGCTCAGCACAATTTTTTTTTCTTTTGTTTTGTTAATCTGTTAATGATTTAAGTGAAATATATTTTGTGTATAGGCCTATATTCCTTTTTATGTAGCCTATATAGTTTTATTCTGTTTTCTCCGTTCACAGAAACGCTGTAGGTGCTTGATGTGACCTTGTGTGAATCCGTGTTCTACACTGGTTTCAAACAAAAAGCTGCATATTAGGCCATTCATTTTCACTTAAATGTAGGCCTAATGCTTGGCGGTTCGTGACATATCCTCGGATAAACATGTGACTTACCTATGATGAATTTACAGCTGAGTGCGGGCATTTCACTCGTTGGATGCGTCAGCGTCACGTTTGCATAGGCCGTACTATGCCGTCTGACAAACTATATTTTATACAGATTTTATTTTGTTTTGGCAAGTATTTAATTATTTTGCCCAGAGAAAAACGTTGGATTATGCAACAGGCATGCAACTCGTTGTCTCCATGCAGTTAATTAATAAACCATCGGTATCGGCCCTTTTCATGCTATTTCCGATATGTTGATGGCTTTAAAATATAATCAAAAATTGGCCGATACATCGGTGCATCCCTAATATACATATATAATATGATGCTCTTAAATTTGACTTTTAATTTTTTGTGATCTAATAAATTCCTAATATATAAAATGTAAGTTCTGCTTTACATTTTTATCTAATTGAATATTCAGTTGGACTTGAAAATGTCACATTATGAAACTAAACACATTACGGAAATTATCACATTACAGAAGTAAAATGGGTTGTGGTTGCCATTTCATGTTGACTTCAAGGTCACCAGTGTCAAATTATGGTTATATTCAGCTCAGCTATTAAAGGGATAGTTCACCCAAAAATGAAAATTCTGTCATCCTCATGTCGTTCTAAACCCGTAAGACCTCCGTTCATCTTCGGAACACAAATATTTTTGATGAATTCTGAGAGCTTTCTGACCCTTCCATAGACAGCAATGTAATTAACACGATCAACGTCCATAAACGTAGCAAGGAGATCGGTAAAATAATCCATGTGACATCAGGGGTTCAACCTTAATTTTATGAAGCTACGAGATTACTTTTTGTACGCAAAGAAAACAAAAATAACGACTTTATTCAACAAATCGTCTCCTCCACGTCACCCTGGCACCATTTTGGAGAGTATCCACTGAACTTAAACAGCGTATGCTTTATTGTTGAATAAAGTCATTATTTTTGTTTTCTTTGCGTACAAAAAATTATCTC